TTTACTAGAATTCTTCCTTTCCATTCAACACTTGAAGGTTTGCCAGGACCCATTGAAGGGAAAGTCTGGATCATGACAATGGTGGGCGTATATTTCATAGGAAAGGACAGGCTTCTCAAGTACGTCCATAGTATTTGGAGCTTTCCTCTTCAGTGGAAAAAAAACTGGCGAAAAGATGATGCCTATAAAACGCCTTTCTTTGTGAAACATAAATTTCAAACTGAGTATTTTCACTGTTCTGTTTCAAAACACATCTTTTCTGTCAAAGGCCGGAGAAGATGCACCCAGAAAGCACCAATGGAGACCCAAGAGAAAAAGAATAGGATACTGATCCCAAATGCAGGTGTTCCTTACAGTGTCATTAAGATTCTGGCCAATGCCTTAAATGCTGTGTCCAAATCCCAGAGGAGAAGGAAGAAGGGAGAAGAGAGATTGGAGGCTCCACGGCTGCAGCCATGGAAGGTATGGGGTCCCAACAAGGATCCATCAAACTATAAATTCCTTTCAGGGTCTTTGAGTATAATTTTTGCATCACAAAATCGTGATTTATCTGTTTCCCTTATTAATGAAAATATAGAAGAATCAATGACCAAGGTCCAATTGTTTTTCATAATTCCTCGTTTTTATCAGTAAGGTTAAAATATTTTTCACAGTTTTTAAGATAGTTGTACCTACTTAATTATTATGCCATCCAGTGTTCAATTAATTAGATCCCAATTCAGGACATCATGAAGCATTTTGTTAATTCTGTGCTGTGCAAGTTATACCACTACGATTCAAATCATTTATTAAGGAAATGTAAGAATATGTGGGAATCAGTTTGGAGGACCAGAGAAAGAGATGCAGGGAAGAATCAGATAAGTTGATGTTTTGGGGAGAGCAATTCGCAGCTACATAACAGGCAGAGAAAGAAACTCAGAAAAGGTCCTCCCTAAATTTTTTGACTGTCAAAAGAGATGGTGAAACATTTGTACTTTCACACTTGCAAGATACTGTTAATGTAATTTTACAATAAAGTAGAATTAGTTCATCTGGTCATTTTTCCTATCTCCTTTACCTGAATGAAGATTAGCCTTGCAACTTTCTTCTTAACAAATTCTTGCTTTCGGGGGATCACCCTGTTGTTTTCAAGGAGTTTATGAATACTCTAGTTATTTGGATATTTTGTTTACTTGATTGGTGACCTTTGCTAGAGTGTTCTATATAATTGACAATTTTTGTCAATTACATCTTGTCAGAATACTTTTTGTCAGTATACTGTATGATTGAGAAGTATTACTGAACCTTTGTTCTTGAGTTTTGAAGACGGTGCAAACACTTGTTCTTCCAACTTACAATATTTGCAAGTTAAACAACCATAGAAGAAAGTTTGAAATGTAAAATGAGATAACAGATAAGAAACCAGATAAGAAACTGCTTTTAAAATTCCTGGATGTTTCCATTCTAGTTGCATCCATTTTTAAAGAAGAAGGAAATGTGCAATCTTTCCCTGATGAATGTGTATGTGGATCAAAATGGAGACGTAGCAGCAGACCTGAGGATCTTTAGTAGGGTGGTTCTCCCTGAGGAGGATCCCATCAACCAGCATTTGGGGAATTTTGAAAGACAGAGACTTACAGTCAACCAAGATGCTTTGTCACAGCTAAAGTTGCTAAACAAGGTGGAGAAAATATTGATGTCTTTTCTCTTTTTTCCAAAAGACCCATTTCAGGTGGGCTACACCTAGTCAGAAAAGTGGATAACCTTCACAGAGAATTGAATGTTTGGAGTAAAATATCTATAATTTTCTTAGGTAGATACAGAGGCTTCAGTTCTATTGTCCCAGGTATCCTTCAGATGCTACAGTGTTGAATATTGTTGTAAGCTGATTCGGCTATATCTAATATGAGATTTGGGGTGATTGTTATTAAGGACACAAATCTGCTGGTGATGTTGTCTATTTCACCTTTTTCTAGCTTACCAAAGAGTAAGTTGTGGTCCACTTTGTCAAATGCCTTACTGAAATCTAGGTATACTACACCCACTGCATTTCGTTGGTCTACTAGTTTCAACACTTTATCGAAGAATGAGATAAGATTGGTTTGGCATGATCTGTTTTTAACAAATCCATGCTGGCTACCAGTTATAACTTTGTTTGCTTCTAGTTGTTTGCAGATCTGTTTTTTTTATTATCTTTTCCAGGATCTTCCCAGATATTAATGTTAGACTGACTGGTCTGTTGTTTTCTGGGTCTGTTTTTTTCCCCTTTCTTGAAGATGGCAACCACACCAGCCCCTTTTCAATCCTCAGGTACCTCCCTGGTGCTCCAGGAGTTTTGACAGGTGTGGTGCAATGGTTCTGAGATAACATCTGCCAACCCTTTCAGAACTCTGGGATGTAATCTGGTGATTTATATTTGTCAAGGTTGGACAGGTGTTCTCTTACCATTTTCTTGCTTATTTTGATTTTTGTTTCTAGTATGTCTTTTGCACTTTTGTTTTTTTTTGGGTGCGTTGGGCTTTGGTTTCTTTTTGTGTGAAGACAGATGCAAACTATGAGTTAAGCAGCTCTGCTTTCTCCCTGTTGCCTGTAATTTTCTTGCCATCTTCTCTCTTTAGTGGGCCTACAGTTTCCTTGACTTTTTTCTTGTTGTTAATATATTGGAAGAAACTTTTTTTGTTGTTCTTGATTTCTGTTGCAAGTCTTTGTTTTTTCAGGGCCTTTGCTTTCCTGACCTCTTCTTTCATATTCTGGCTATCTGCTGATAATTGGCCTTGGTTATGTGCCCCTCTTTCCATTTTTTGTATTTGTCCTTTTTGTCTTTTAGTTTGTTAGAGAGATCTTTGTGGAGGACCCCACTGGGTCAAACCTTTTCTCAATTTCATCTCTTCAGATTTTATTAAGTAGAAAGGTACTATTTTTTTTGCAAACTGATATGCCAGAAGAAAAAGGGAGGAACTAAATGAGGCATCTACCTGCAATTCTATCTTCGGCAACCATCTGGAAGTATTCAGATATTTCATATTTGTTCACCTGAAACCCAAAGACTATTTTGCTAATGTTCACATCTACCTCCATTTAAATGGATGGTGAGTTCTAATACATTTTCTCTGGTATTTCTTCTTTTTCTTCTTAGTCTCTGCCTCAGTCCAAATGTGTGGAAAAATGCCATCCTGGATTTGTCAAGAAGGTTCGAGAAGGAGAGCCAGTTTGCTGTTACGACTGCGTTCCTTGTCCAGAGGGAACCATCTCCACTCAGGAAGGTGGATGACACCATAGGGAATGTTCTGGATTCATCTTTTTTAGAAACATCTGGATTCTTTGTAACTTGAGGAATTATTTTAGATCAATGGGTTTTGCTCACCCAAAACAAGTTTACATTATAGACCAAAAGATATATCAATCAGTCCTTCAATTAATTAGTCAATCTTTATAAATATCATAAATCCTCATCAGCTGAAATATCTAATTGGGAGGAACAATAGTGGGGAGAAGCTGGTTTGAAGGAGGAAATGAATACCAAACAGAGGACCATCATAAAACCTTCAAGTGGATATTTCCTTTCTACCTTTTTTAATCTTTCCGATTTTCTTTCTGGTTAAATAATGAGATACACACAATTATAATACCAACAAAAAGGAACATAATTGTGGTTCTGAAAAAAGACTACAGTAATATAAAGTTTTGGGATGAAAAGGAACAGAAAGGAGAGGGGTGAAAGTATGAATACAATCTACTTAATATCCTTTGATACCAATGTTGAATTCATTCTCTCTTTAAAATTATTGCCAAATCTAGAGATTATAGAAATATATTGCTCCATCTTCTCGATTTTACAGGGTAAAAAGACTTTGCAGATAACAGACTCAGTTCCTGTTCTTGAATTCATTTATGAATTAATCTTCTTTAAGATGTCTTTTCAAATTTATTTACCAGTGATGATTGGTGGCAATTAAAACAATAATTAAACATTAAAACAATGAGATATAAATGCTAAGAGAGAAAGAGAGGAGTACATCAAGATGCTGAGTTTAAACATTTGTGGGATAAACATATCTCCTTCATCTGAATTTTTTTTAAAAAAATGAAATAAAATATTAAATAAATAAGAAAACAAAAAACTCAAAGGGCAGACTGGATGGAGCACTAGATCTTTTTTTGCTATCAGTTTTCTTTTTCTATCTTTTTATCCCATATTCATAGGGTTGCTCTTGAAAACCAGCTGGAATTTACAAATGGTCCAGAATGCAAAGGCATGCACAGTGTTGTGTTTCCATGTGTTCTTCCATAGGACTCCCTTATTGTACAGGCTCCGTAGAATCTGAGTTTCTTCCCAAGTGCAATAAAAATCACCTTTCAAACCCTACATGAACCAGGGTATCTGCAGGGCTTCCTCTCCTTGAGGATATCTGCTTGTCCCACCAGAGCAGCTATAATTGGCATGCAAAAGGACCGTTCCCTAAAAGATTTCCACTTTATGGATCCTCACAAGCCATCCTTTTCTGATGCAGTTCCTGCCCCATTGGACCCATTCCGTCTTGAAATCCAATAGGCTCCCATCCTCTTAAACCTCTGGAGACTTGCTACTTCTCCCAACCATTTGGAATAAGATAAGGTCAGTGCAAGATAAGAATCTGGTGGATTACCTCAGAGAAGAGAGCTTGTGGCACCAGATAGTTCTTCTTTTCATTTTATTTTGTTGCTGTTCTTGTTTTTATAGTTGTGCTACTGGGTTTCTATTTTATTTTTTTTGCTGGAGTATAAGTATATTGCATTCACTTAGAGTTTCCTGTCTCTCAGCATCATATCTTATCCAAAAATGTTCTTGAAATTTGAAAGTTAATAAAATAAATATTACTTTGTTTTCTCAGATACTGACAAATGCACCAAGTGCCCAGATGATCAATATCCAAGCAAGAACCGAGTCCAGTGTATCCCCAAAAGAATAACCTTCCTGTCCTATGATGAACATGTCAGCATCATCCTCATCTCCTTTGCTCTATTCTTGTTCCTAACCACAGGCTTTGTTTTAATCATATTCCTTAAATACCTAGAAACTCCCATTGTCAAAGCCAACAACCGGGACCTCTCCTACATCCTCCTGGTCTCACTCCTGCTTTGTTTTTTGTCTTCCTTTCTCTTCATTGGCCATCCAAGGAAAGCCACCTGTCTTCTCCGACAAATGGTGTTCAGCATTGTCTTCTCAGTAGCTGTCTCTTCTGTGTTGGCCAAAACAATCACAGTAGTGCTGGCATTCCTAGCCTCAAAACCAGGGAATAAAGTGAGAAGATGGTTGGGGAAGAGCTTGGCCAACTCCATCATCCTTTCTTGTTCTGGTGTACAGGTTCTCATTTGTGCCATGTGGCTGGGAGTGTTTCCCCCATTTCCTGACTCTGATCTGCACTCCCAGCCTGGAGAGATCATCCTTCAATGCAATGAAGGCTCTGTCACCATGTTTTATGTCGTCCTTGGCTACATGGGTTTCCTTGCTGCCATTTGCTTCACGGTGGCTTTCCTGGCCAGGAAGCTGCCTGGGGCCTTCAATGAAGCCAAGCTGATCACCTTCAGTATGGTGGTCTTCTGCAGTGTCTGGGTCTCCTTCCTCCCCACCTACCTGAGCACTAAAGGAAAATACGTGGTGGCTGTGCAGGTGTTCGCCATCTTGGCCTCCAGTGTTGGACTGTTGGGCTGCATCTTCTTCCCCAAATGCTACATTATCATCCTGAGACCAGATCTAAACACTAAGGAACATCTAATGACAAAAGCAGGGGAATGACTGAAATTGTTTCTTAGGCTCATAACTTTTAATTATCCATTATTATTCAGTTTATATGCTGCCTTTGCCTTTGTTTAATAAATTTATGTTTATTACATCTGAACGAAATAAATATGTGGTCAGGTAGTCAAATGAAAATTCAAGATAATAATCAAATACATTAATAATAAATAAATAAATAAATAAATAAATAAATAAATAAATAATGTTTATGCTTTTAAAATTGTTGGTAGTCTTTCTTTTCCTCAGCACACATGTCAACCAATATTTGGTTTAAGCAACTCTTCAATAGAAGAGACATATGAGTTATTTCTTGAACTTTATAGTGATGTAAGCTTGGCAGATTTCTTCAGAATTAATTAGTGAGGTCTCAATTTCATCTCTTGTCTTCTCAATAGCCGTATCTTCAGTGTTGGTGAAAATGATCACAGTGGTGCTGGTATTCTTAGGGGGCAAAGTGAGAAGATGGTTGGAAAAGAGTTTGGCCAACTTCATAATCCTTTCTGGTTCTGCTGGTCAGGATAGGATAGGATAGGATAGGATAGGATAGGATAGGATAGGATAGGATAGGATAGGATAGGATAGGATAGGATAGGATAGGATAGAATAGAATAGAATAGAATAGAATAGAATAGAATAGAATAGAATAGAGCTGGAAGGGACCTTGGAGGTTTTCTAGTCCAGCCTCCTGTTCAAGCAGGAGAACCTATACTGTCTCAGACAGATGAATTCCAGTCTCTTCTTAAAAATCTCCAGTGATGGAGTGCCCGCGATTTCTGGGGGTAAGCTGTTCCACTGGTTGATTGTTCTCACTGTCAGGAAGTTGTTCCTTAATTCCAGATTGCTTCTCTTTGATCAGTTTCCAACCATTGTTTCTCGTCCTTCCCTCTGGTGCTTTGGTGAACAACCTAGCCCCCTATGCTTTGTGTCAGCCCCTCAAATACTGGAACACCACTATCATGTCTCCCCTATTTCTTCTTTTCTTTAGATTAGCCAAACCCAAGTCCCATAGCAGTTCTTCGTATGTTTTAGTCTCCAGGCCTTTGATCATCTTAGTTGCTCTTTGAATTTTTTCCAAACTCTCAACATCTTTTTTGTGATAAGGTGACCAAAATTGGCTGTAGTATTCTAGGTGTCGTCTAACTAGGGTTTTATGAAGTAGTAATAATACTTCACGTGATCTTGATTCTATGCCTCTGTTTATACAACTCAGGATTATATTAGCTTTTTTGGTTGCTACTGCACACTGTTGGCTCATAGTTAAGTGATCATCCACTAGGATTCCAAGGTCCTTCTCACAGTTACTGTTTTTAAGCCAGGTCTCACCCAATCTGTATTTGTACCTTTGGTTTTTCCTGCCTAAATGTAACACTTTGCTTTTCTTCACATTGAAACTCATTTTGTTGGATAGGACCCATTGTTCAAGTTTGTCAAGATCTTTTTGGATCCTGAGTTTGTCTTCTGGGGTGTTGACTACTTCTGTGAGTTTAGTGTCATCTGCAAATTGGATGAGTTCCCCTTCAATTCCCTCATCTCAGTCATTTATGAAGATATTGAAGAGTACTGGGCCTAAGATGGAACCTTGTGGTACCCACTGCTTACTTCTCTCCATGTGAATGTAGTACCATTGAGGACTACTCGTTGAGTATGGTTTATCAGCCAGCTACAAATCCATCTGGTGGTAATGTTGTCTATTCCACCTTTTCCTAGCTTACCAAGGAGTAGTGGTCTATCTTGTCAAATGCCTTACTGAAATCTAAGTATACTACGTCCACTGCATTTTGCTGGTCTACTAGTTTAGTCACTTTATCAAAGAATGAGATGAGATTGGTTTGGCATGATCTGTTTTTAACAAACATGTGCTGACTGCTAGTTATGACTTTGTTTGCTTCTAGCTGTTTGCAGATCTGGTTTTTTTATTATGTTTTCTAAGATCTTCCCAAGTATTTATGTTAAACTGCTTGGTCTGTAGTTTTCTGAGTCCATTTTTTCCCCTTTCTTGAAGATGGGGACCACATCAGCCCTTTTCCAATCTTCAGATACTTCCCCGGTGCTCCAGGATTTATGAAAGATGAGATAACATCTGCCAGCTCCTTCAGAACTGTGGGATATAGCCTATTGGATCCTGGTGATTTGTATTCGTCAAGATTATATAATCCTGTAGTTAGTTCTGGGAAGTCGGGAAGGGGATTAGGGAGAAATTATAAATTGATGTATTCAATTATTATAGGTATATAGC